TCGACATCCCTCGGCACTGTGGCGCAGGTCAGTGCGATTTGCTGAAACGACGAAAGTGTGATATAGTGAGAGTTAAAATTGATTTAATGTTTTATGAGCAAGACATGTAAAAAGTAAAAACAGTTATTTGATAATAATATAAAAGGTCCATAAATTGTAAATGCTCAATTCGATATTTTTGTCGAATGATTTGATTGAGAACTATAATATTTAATCAATTATCAATACAGAAAAACACTTTCAAACCATAATTCAAAACGAAACATGGGGTAAAATAGTTTTTAAAAATTACCTTCCTACATCAAATTTCCTTATAACGTTTCAATTAAAATGTATGGGTTTATGATGTAAGTATACACTGTAGATACACAATTACTTATATATTTATCAATGTTTGCCATATAATAAGAAAATAATTAATAAATAATTATCGATATCTCTATTCTCTCTGTACAACCCATTCTACACCTAACCTAACCTAACCCATCATCGTTATTCGCATGATTACCATAATATGTTTCAATGTTTAATGTTAATACAATAATACTGTAGAATAAAATTCGTGTTTAGAGCATTAATTAATTTATATTTTCTAGTGACCGTAGCGTATTGAGAGTCTTTTTTTAATTACTATATAAATATAGCAATAATTTAACAATTTTTAGCCGTAAACTTTAAAACTACTGTTAATTTAATTTTTCCAAGAGTCAAGACTGAAATAAAACGAATTACCTAATCTATTTTTATGTTAATATTTCAGTCATAAAGAATACGTTTTGTTGAACAAAAAATGACGAAGGCAAACATTAATTTCAATGTTTGATTAATTTTACACACTAAAAACAGTAAAAGCAAGGACATATTATTATCTATATATAGATAGGTTGATATATGGTTGACACATTGCTAATAAACTATAGAGTTTTGATGTTAGGTACATATTATTCAATAAACGACTTGAATTATTATGTATTACATTTTTATATTATTAGGCATTATGTTTTATTAATGTTAAATAACTAATCACTTATTACACGGTAATCCGCCATCTTTTAAAATGCATTTTAAATTTATTAGCGCTGCTTTAGATCTAAGAACAAATTTTAATTTTCTTTGTAACATCCACTATTAAACGTTTCTCGTTTCCACGAAAGTCGTTTATTAGTTTTTTTTTAAATTTTGTTTTGCTCGAGAAAATAACGCTGTGAAAACATAAGCTGCTCTAGAAAGTATTGGTAATCTTCGTCACTCGTCTTAAAAAAATTATATTTAATAAAATAAAAATTAGAAAAACTAAAAAAACTACCATTTTTTACGCATGAACACCGCTATAATAATAATATTGTACATTAATATAAATAATACGAGAGGGAAAACTTTTAATAACCAATTATCTAATAAGGCGGTAATTCTTTTGTGTACTTACCTAAGTTGAACGACCGTTTGTGAACCTTTCAAAGCACAGTGGCACAGTTCTGATGGTCAGAAACCATTTGAGAGAAAATCATCAACAACTAAGTTCATCGTCTTAATAATTGCATATAACATTATACTGACTACAACAATAATACTACTAAAGTGCAAACAATACTACTGACATTATGGGCTTAGGGAAATTATCAATAGGTACAATTAATGCAATAATTCGTATGCTATATTTAATAAAATAAGTTTCTAATAATCTAATATCTATACATGGTAACCGGCTAATTCGGCGAAATCTATTTCGGTGAAAGACATTTCGGCGAATCTTTTTCGGCGAATGGATATACCGGCGAACGGTTATATCGGCGAATGGACGTATCGGCGAACGAATATATATTGGCGAAACCACAATACCTAACCGGAAATTTAAAAATTTAAATTCCATATTATATAAATAATAATTAAATAAAAAGAGACGTTCTAGGACCATATTATATACTTATAATAATTACTTTGTAAAAATGTATAATATTAATTCAATAATTTAGTCAATAAAAATAATATAAATAATATTGTAATAAAAATAATATTAAAAATTTAAAAGTCAATATTGTATGCCAATCTTTTTAAATATGGTATAATGTCTTGGTTTGAATAATTTGTCACCTTTGTTTTTATATTTTCTGTGGTTCTTTTCCATTTTAATTTCTGTTAAAACAGTTTAAAATAAAATTTCAGTTTAAAATAGTTATTCTAGGTTTTTTAATATGTAATTTCGTCCAAATTTGAATTTAAAATGTCTGTAAAAAATAACTGTGTTCATATATTCTTTAGATTTTTTGGTAACAGTATGAACTATTTATGAGAACCTTTGTTTTAAATTTGCAATCCTTAGCTATAAAAACTGAACATTTTATAATTTATTAATTACAATGATTGATAATTTTCGAGATTTTGATAAATTTTGTCAAAATTCGATCTTTAAATGCTTATAAAAAAAAAATGTGCCTATGTATTTTTAATATTTTTAACTGATATTGTAACAATATATCAGGCCAATTGTATTGAATTTTTACACTTTTTGGCCCAACAGATAAAACTTTATTGATATTTATAGAATAAAAAACTAAAGAAATTAGAAACTGAAAATGTCCGTAAACAGCTCGAAAAGAGTCAAAATATTTTGAAAATGTTATAAACTATAAGAATTGATAATACAAACATTTAGTAAAATGTTCATGTATCTACAGTTATTCGTTTTTGAATTACAACAAAATAAGGAAATCGCTACATGAGAAATCGAGTAAATATCCTTGGGTGTATTGTTCTTTAAAATTATTAGGAATAATACTGAAGTGAGGCACACTTGTGATAAATTAAGGGTGTGACTTAACAATTTAAAATTAATTACCTAATTAGTTAGGTTTTAACTCATAAGTGTTACATTAATAATGTGTAACATGGATTTTTATTTTAAGAAATTAGAAGTAAAATGATATTTATTGATTGTTGGTAAATTAAAATGTTATTAGTACTGATATATTATATTATATCCAATGTTGTTGATGGTGGTTGGTTGAAGAGGGTGTCAGGAACGCCAATTTTATTTAAAGTTTTTGGGTCTCCTTTCATTTATTAAATAACCAAGAATAACAATTTTAGTTATTTTGTTGTAATTTTATAACATCAATTGAACTTAACGGCTACCGTATTAATAATAAGTAATAACAATATAAAATATCCACACATTCCAAACTGACAAACCGTCACCACTCATCAGAATCGTTTTTCGTATACAATGATATTATATCATTGAATTCAAATTTAATACCATCCATTACACTGACTGAGTGACCCACTGTACAGTAGAGTGACATCAATTTATCCACCTTTTTATAACTAAAAATACAAATTTTGAAACGAGGTTCCACATAAGTTTCACACACCGTAACCAAAAAACCTAAAAAAAAACACAGTTTTTTTTATAGTTATTTGTAGTTTTGTGTTATAATCTAAAAATATTATTCGTGTGTACTTGAAACTTTTAATGTATATTATTATATATTTTAGTTATATAGTTATTTATACCTACAAATAATTTTTATTAAAATTAACGGCTACCGAATTAATAACATTAATATAAAATAATATCCTAGGCTGACAGTCTCCACACAGAATCGTTTTTCGTATACAATGAATTCAAATTTAACACCATCCATTGAAGTGACCCCTTTTTAATCTACTTTACAGTAGAGTAACACCCACTTACCCTGTTATTTAATATTTTAAATACCTACATAAAATAAGTTGTAAGCATAACTAAATTATAGTAATTGCTAAGTAATGAAAAGCAGAGTTGAAATTGTATTATTGGTTCAATATAACAAGAGTTCAAAATTTCAAACAATAGTATTAAAATTTTGATAAATACTAATTCAATTAATAGCGATTAATGTTGATTAAATATATTGTAATTTTTAGCTTTTTTTAAATATATATATATATCTATTTATTTGTTCTTTATGATAACTTTCTTGGAGTCATGAATTCTTTGACATCATCATCTGTAATTTTACTTCTGTTTGTTTGGTGTTAAAGCATTAAAGAATGTTAATTTTATTGAAATTGTGTGAATTGCAATTGAAAATAATTTGATTACTGTTATTATAAATGTGTGTAGTCAATTACTTTTATAAAGAATTCTGTTATGAAAATAATAAATTATTATAATAATTAAATTATATTAAATTATAATAATAATTATTGACATGATGTCTACCTGCAAGTGTTTTATCCATCTTACTATCGCATAACATACCAAAACTTACATTCAGTAATTATTTCTATGTTGTTAGCTTAAATATAAGAGACAACTGACCTAATATTAAACTTAAAGATTAGACCACTACCTGTGTGTTCTCATAGGTTTTTTATAATATTTTAATTTTTGAGAAAATTATGTGTTTAAAATAATAAAATTTAAGAAATTCTCATCTCTCATAAAAATTAAAATATAAAAAAAAAACGATAACACATTTAAAGTTTTTACCTTTAATTTCAATAGTAGGTCAATTAATTTTAATATTAAATAAAACATCTGAACACAAATTTGCTATGTTGTCTATGTGTAAGACAGAGAAAACACGTTATGCAGGTGTGATGTTCTCTTGAACAACCAGTCCAACAAAAATGTAGCCATTACACATTATGTCATTTAAATGGGAATATGCACCATGGCTTTGTCGTTGCCTTTTTTTATTTTGAGGTTACTACTGTTTTATTTGTTGTTCCTACAAATTGCTGATTTCATCATATTGTTTAAATAATAATAATTTACAAATGATCTAAGAAAAAAAATTTTGTCATACTCTATAAATGGGTTGTACTTTATTAATTTTTAATTAAAGTTTTTCATTACATAAAGTAACATACTTGTGTGTGTATGTGAACATAAATTTAGTACAAAATAGAAGTTGAAAAATTGAAAATAGTATAAAAAAACTAATTCATTTTTAAATATTTGATTGTTTGCGTATTATATTGTTCATTATGTTTATATTATATTATATTGTTCTTTATGATATTTTTCTTGGAGTCATGAATTCTTTGACATCATCATCTGTAATTTTACTTCTGTTTGTTTGGTGTTCCTGCACAATTTTTGAAATAGATTCAATCAATATTTTTTTTAATTCTCCAGTCAACATTTTTCCAGAAGTATAAGCCTGTTAACACATTAAACCATTATATTTAATTTTAATGAAATTATAACAACATAGATTCATTAATTATGGTTATAACTTTTTCAATTTTGATTAATTCTTCATCACTTTCTAGAAAATGTTTTAAATACTGATAAGATATATCTACATTACAATCGCCACCCTTTTCTCGATGCAATTCAACTGTTCCTTGACCTCCAGAAAATGCATACTTGTTGATCTATTAAATAAGAAATAACAAAATGAATAATTAAGAAAATAATTCAAAAAACCCAACTAACTTTATTTTTTATTTCCTTTGGCGTGTCTTTCAAATAGATAGACGAATTCAAATCACTAGCCGACATTTTAGTGTCAGCCCCTTGTAAAGACGGTAGAAACGATGAATGTATTAAAGCAGGTTTCGAGAATCCAAGCTTAGGAGCAACATCTCTTGTCATTCGAAAATACGGATCCTGTAAAAAAAATTTTTTAATAAACAATTAATAATAAAACAATTAAATATAATCTCACCTGATCAATAGCACAAGGAACTAAACAAGGAACTTTTTTATCTCCAAATATAAAAGGAAACGTTGAAGTCAAGCAAGGAGCAGCTTGAACAGCAGGGAATGCAATTTTTCCAATGACATCACTATCTCCAAATCCAAATATACCTTTCACTTGATTGAATGTAACACTCTTTTGAATTCTTAATACATTAGCATAAAACGATGGACATTCACTAAAATCATTTAATTATTAATAACTAATTTGTATTCACTTCAAACTAAAATGTATTTATATATTAAGTTCTAAATATTTATAATACCCCATGAACTGTAAATCTGAAAATATAAACGTGTTCTTTTTGTGGAATCCACACGCTATTATATCTTTAGCATTTTCAACGGACAACCTCTTTGCTTCTTCTAATGTTAAATCTTTCCATAAATATTTTTCATCATCAGTCAACTGGATTACGAGAGGAACATTAAAAGCATCTTGCAACCATCTGAAAGCAATACAATATTAGTCATTGTTAAATTCAGCTTTTAAAATAAAATAAAAAAAATAATAATCTTACTTTGTAAATATAAATGGTATCAAATGGCCAATATGCAGAGAATTAGAAGAAGGGCCTCTTCCTGTATATAAATAAAAAGGTTTTCCTTGTTCATATAAATTTAAAATACTGTATAAATCTCGATGTGAAAAAAAAATTCCTCTTTTTAGGAAATGGTGAACCGGTTTTTTAGTGGCGGCTTCAATCCGTGACAGTAATTCTTCATCAATTTTACTACTACCAAATCTTTCTATAAAAAAAGGTATTCTTAGTAATTTAAATTATTCTTATAAGCCAAAAGTTAAAAATTGAAATAACAATATATTGTAATAATAATAATATGAACCATGCACCCTTATCTATGAAAAATAATAAAATATAAGTAATAATAATGTATAAAATATATTTTTTTTATTTAACACATTTTTTGGAATTATTAAATATTTAAATTGTTTTCTATAAATAAAACTATTAAAAGTAATACATATTATCATTTTTTTTTTTTTATTTGAGTAGAATGTTAAAATAATATACTTTTAACATTGTATATTTATATTAAATAAATATTCTTAGCTTTCTGTAGGTTAGGTCGTTAGTTGTTTTTAAAGAAAAATTAGACTTTGTGGGATTTGGCTGTAATAGAAGCTAGGTATTAATAGTTTTTTTTTTTTTTTTTTGTTATATAATTATATATGAACGCTTGGTTACAAAATTGCATTATTTTAATAGAAAAATCATATTTTAATTTGCTTGTTTCGATATTGTAGAAACGATGTATCTGTTAACAGAAGGTTGATCCTATTTTTAAAAACAACTACAGGCTATTAAATAATTGACGCCCAAGTTCAGAACTGCAACAACTCAAAAAATTGGGTATAATGTGTTTTCTATATTGTTTCTCTATGTAGCGTAATGTAAATTATAATATTGAAAATTCCCTCTAATGGTCAATAATTTAACTATATTTTATTGCGTTCTTGAACTGAAATTGTCATAAGATGGTGTACATAACTCAAATTTCTTATATTTCGAGTTGTTGCAGTTTTGAACTAGGGCGTCGTAATGATTGTATTGAACTATTGAGATGTTTTTGCTAAAAAGAAAAAACACTTATTGAACAGAAAAAAACTGCATAAATGTAGTAAACTATATAGTAGTAAAAATAACTGTATTTATAACTTAATAATTAATAAATAAAATAAACAAAAACCCTAATTATCGGAAGAATAAAAAAATGTATTGTTATAACTATTGTTTAATTGATAACTTAAAAAATATTTATTTATAAATAATTGTTTATTGTAATTGTAATTGTTTGTTTAATAAAATGTATAGAAAATACTGTTTAAGTTCAGCTTAATAGATTAAACTAATAAAGTAAAGTATAGTAAAAGTCATGTGATAGTTAATGTTTAATTATAATATTATAAGATGATGTTTAAAAAGTAATTTCATTAATACCTACCGTTAATAAATAAAAGAAGACACATTTTTGGTATAGTTTAGGTCTAAAATCAAGGCTTTATTTAATTAATAATAGACCAATTATAATAAAATTAAATATTAGTCTATAATACTTGTACAGTACTTCTAGATACAATAAACATTTTTATTACCTACTTAAATAAATAAAAATATTTGATACCTGGGAATTAAATAATATTATATTATAACATTGGTTATTAAAAATAATACTTTGCATAATAATTATTATGTTTTTCCAGTTTAGGTACGAGAAATATCTAAACTTTACCAAGGAAGTAGGACAGTAAAATCACTAAGTAAATCTACTTAGATTGACAAATAATATCATATAATATTGGTAACTATCAGTAACATTTATAATTATTGTATTCATTAATACATAATATTTATATATTAATTGTGCTTACTAATTGATTATAAGAAACTGAAAAAGAAATTTCAGAATAATCATAATAACTATACCCATAATTTATCAAGTATTGTTCTTTGTAATTGGTTTTTGAACAAATGTATTTTCATTATTATCAATAGGCACTTTCCACATTTTCAGAAATGGCCAAAAATAAATAAGTTTTATGCCCATATGCATAGTCAATTTAAATAACTATATATAAACTATTATTAAAACTATACAATTAAAAACATTATTTATCTAAGAGACTAAGACTATTTGTTAAATGCAATTTAGTAAATTAATTGCATTTAATTTTTACTTAAAGATTGATATGTTCATAACCGTGTGCAAACATTATTGGCAGATAGTCATATAAATTATAAGTACCTATCTATTCAGTTTAAGAGTATGCTACACCTGCATGTGTTGTCTCCGTCTAAAAAATGTAAAGTATAGCAAAAACTGTTGAGGAAAGAAGAAACAGCTACAGTCGTAAGCATAACCAAGAAACAAAATGTTCACCACATAAAAAGGAGAAATTTGGCTGTGAAATATCGTTTTTATTTTTTCGATATTGGAACAACAAAAAACATTGTTCAATTTTGAAAAACACAAAATGAATGGATTTTGAAACAATAAGAACTTTTTTCGTATAAGTGATATCAAAAAAATAAAAACCATATTTCACAGATAAGGTTTTCAGCCATATTGTATATCAATTTGGAGTCTTAACTATCACTACAGCGTGAGTAGTGCTATTCCGAGCCAAATAGTTTTTGCTATGTTGTCCATTTGTAAAATGCAGACAACACCACATGTGAGAGTAGCATCCTCTTAAGTTATATTTTAGCTATACGTTATGCATATATTTATATTTATACTTATATACATAATATATGATACTAGAATAATAGTATATAATGTATACTACTTGTTTCGAAAATTATAATTAAGTTAATATGTTAAGTCTGAACATCAAGATGAGCTCAAGATGTAGTTTTTTTTTTATTAAAAAAACTTATTTAGCAGTAGTTTACTAAACTTAAATTAACAATTAGAAAAAAAATTCAAATTGCTTATTGCATACGGGGAATTCTAACTGTAAAATGATCGTAGTCTTGGTGGTTCGATTCGCCACTGTTTGTGTACAATATTTGAGAATATCAATGCGACAATGAGTAAATCAAAAAAAAAAAAAAATATGTATTATACCCAAGTGTAAAGCGGATACACGGAAAGCACACCAAAAACACAATTATTATTGTTGGGTCGAAAGAAAAAGAAATAAACAGTGATTGCATACGGATGAGTTTGTCATAGTCGATTCCTGTTTTGTTCTTTGAACAAACATTCCATGGGTTTACCACATCGTCTTCGTTGTTGACTTCTTTAGATTCCAATGACAGGTTTTCTAGGGACGAAGCCATCTTAAAAGTTAAAACGTACGTGAAACGTAAATTTCAACGAACAAGGAACAACCCGCTAATAACTATGTACTATGTAGTATGTACAGACGAATATTATTGGTTAGGTGAACGCATACAGTTATAATTGCAGGGACGTTATCAGTTATCACTATTATCGACGTGGATTCCGTGGAGGCATGGCTGAATAATATTTATTTATTAATGCGTTGTAGCCTGGAGGTAAGTCGCGATTACAAATAATAATCATTAACAAATTGTTAACAAGACTTAAAAAACCCACAGATATATAATACTAGATAGCTAACTTGTCTAAATTAGGGTAATCGATGTTGAAGTTAGCCACCATAATATGCGTGTGGGTCAATGTTTACGGTAAACGGAAAAAAAGTCCGGGGAAAAAGAGTCCGGGAAAAAAAGTCCGAGAAAAAATTATTTAAATATAAATTAGTTATTAAATTAAAATAAAATTAGTTCCTAGAAAAATATTAAACAAAAATATTTTATTAAGCTTATTTTTTTCAAATAATATGTTTTAATCGCTCTGTATGTCTACTATATGGAGACAGGTTTACACAATGATATTTCAGTTAGGGTCCAGGGGTATTTCCGTATAAAACTAACGAGTAACATTACTACAACTTATCTAGAATATACCTACCTAAGATATAATATTATATCACTAGTATAGTCAACTGTGTGTCCTAGGTCATAGCAGTGTTAAAAGTAATAGTGTAGTACATAATTTTATAATAATCATCATAATGGATAGTGTAAAATTAATAAAAAATGGAAAAAAAATTGTTTGTGGTGGATTTACATATACAATCCAGCATAAACTAAAAAAAAGTATAAGATGGAAATGTTCCCAGAAGTCTTTGAAAAAATGTCCTGGTGTATTAATTACCAACAGAGGTAAATACATGTATATTTATAATATATTTACGTTTTGTCATTAATTTATATATGTAAAAAATATATTTATATATGCAGATTTAAAGGATCCAAGCTTAGATGTAGAACATTCACATGCTGGTGATCTACACATCGGAATCGTCGAAAGAGCAAAAGAAGAAATGAAAAACTGATAAAAATTTTTACAAGATTGGATATTCACTCGATTTTTCATGTAGCGGTTTTGTTATTTTATTCATTTATTGTTATTCAAAAACGAATAACTGTCAGTTTACAATTTTCTTAGTTTTTTTTTTCTATAAATATTAAAAATAAATTAATTGGTTTGGTAAAATGTAATTAAATTTACTATAACAATAGCAGTTCAAAAATATTAAAAATACATAGGCACAATTTTTTTTTTCAGCATTTAAAGGTCGAATTTCGACAACATTTATCATATCTATTTAAAATTGAATAACTATTTTGGCTTTAAAAATGTATAAAATGTTCAACTCTTATAGCTAAGGATTGAAAATTTAAAACAAGGTATATATATATATATAATAGGTTATATATATAAATTACTTTATTCACAATAATATCATCAAATATACTTAGTAATATCACTAGTATTATAAGACCGTCTGACCGTCTTCTCTAAGAATCGTTTTCTTATACAATGATATTATTGTATCATTGAATTTAAATTTAACAATTAACATAATCCAATACAGTGACCCACTTGTAACTTAATGTACATCAGAGCGACATCCAGATGTCATTTTATTGATATTCTTTAAATTTTAAGTTCAAATTTGAAAAAAATTACTAATATGATATATTTAAAAGAAGAAAAATAATTTCAGTAATTTTGTTGTAATTTAAAAATATTATTCGTACTTGAAACTTTTAGTAAAGTTAGTACATATATTATATAATTGTAAAGTTTTACACAAACTATATTTTCAAATGCAATATTTTTGGCAAAAATGTATTCATCCTACTGTATTACCACCGATTATGTATACCAACTATACTATGTTAACTAGCATTCATAACAAAATGGTGTTTATAATAGTAAAATGAATTTCATTAATAAATATATCTTGTAAATTATCGACGTTGGATCATTTGGTAAAAAAATGCGACTGTAATGTGTTAAAAGTGCCTCATATTAAATTTTAATAATTAAGCTTTTTTACCCAACAAATAAAATTTTATTGACATTTATAGAAAAAAAAAACTAAAAATATTGGAAACTGAAAATGTCCATAAACAATTCAAAACCAAAATATTTTGAAAAATTTAACATGTATAGAAAAGGCTAATATAAACAACCAGTAAATATTTCATGTATCAACAGTGATTTTTTTTAGAGTGTCTTTGAGTGTCTTACTGTGAGTCCAAATTCACTGTGAGAGGTTAGTTGTTGACAGTTTGCAACAAATAGTTAGGTAATAATAAAGTTGGTCATCAGTGCTCGAATTGTAAAAATAAATTAAATGGGAATCTTGGACTTTTTGGAGCTTTCATTACAATAATTAAACTCAATCCAGATCGTACTTTGCCCCTCCCCCCCAACCATCTATCTTCATTCTTCAATTACAATAAATTTAATTTTACTTATAATTTATTAACATAAAACTAATATTTACTTAAAAGTATATTCTAACATTTCTAACTAATTAGGTAATTAGTTATAAATAATAATGTAAATAATTGTAATTATAAGATAAATAGATAAAAATATTTGACCACGGACTAAGATACCTATTGTAGGTACCTACTTACTTGACCGCGTTATCAATTATCATAAAAAAAATCATTAAATTGAATTTTAATATCTTATTGAATATGTTATTATACATTATACAACTTTACGAAATAATAATAACAAATAATAGATTCCGTCCCCCCGTTCTAATGAAAATAATATTAGAAGGGGAACTCAAAATATTAATTTAATGTAAATAATTGTACTTACATCTTACTACCTTAGTCCATTATTTTTACAGCGTTATTAATTATCATAAAAAAATCATTAAATTTAGGTCATATGGTCCATGTGCAATCAGTAAGTCATTAACAGGGCTCGGGACTTGTAGCACTTAAAATCATTAAAATAAGCACTTAAAAAAGCGCTTAAAAACATCATTATAAGCACTAAAATAAGCATTTAAAAAACTTAAATTTAAGCAAAAATATTTCATCGAAAAAAAAATTTCTTTTTACATGATAAAGTAGGTACTATAGACATAATTTGTATAACTGTCTTAAAAATAATGATTAGGAAAAGTTTTTAACAAAAAATAAAAATAAATAAATAAATCTTTGTATTATAAAAAAAATCAAACTTCACTTTCGAGACAATTCAAATTATTATTTATAGATTTTCCGAGGGATTTTCTGAAAATTAAAATGTAAACGATATTTACAATTAGTTGAAAAAAAAAATAATTAATTGAACCTTACCATCATTATTGAATTAAATGATTTAATTTTAATTCTATCAAAAACAACTTTGCAGTATAAAACCATAAAAAAAGTAGAAAAACTGGTAAAAAAATCAAAAATAATCAGGAAAACTGGAAACAAGCATTTTTTGGAAAATCGATGAAAAAAGCACTTTTAAATTTCATAACTGAACGTCTCGTAACACGACATACACTTTCATAGCACTCTGCTACATTTTAAGCCAATCCATAAAAATAAGCAAATGCTTTAAGTCCCGAGCCCTGGTCATTAATCATAATTTATTTTATTTTTAAACCGAACTCTTTTCTTTCTGCTAATAAAGTAATAACTTTTATTCCTAGATTGTTATCGGAATCGAAAATAAATATTAAATATTATTGATTTTAAATTTTTCTGAAATATCTTAACGGCTTTTTTTTTTTGTAATACATTCAAAACTTCTATTTTAATAACGTGGAAAACAACTCCTAAATGCGTTATTTCATAGAAATTACTTTAAAAAAAGTAATTTTGTGACAATTGCGTTATGTACCTACTAAGTAAAATGTAATGAAATTACTGCTGCGTTACTGAAAAAGTAATTGCGTTACAGTAATTTTTAATTTGATTTACGTTACTGCCCAACACTGTAAATACGCCTCTGGACACAAGTGCATAACTGATAATTAGAGCGCGGATTTCTAGGCAATTGCATATTTTTTTCCTTTTAATATTTTTGGATTGTTGTCAGTTATCTCCACGAATCATCATAATTTGAAGCTAATGGAGATATTTTTTTTTGCATATTTCTGCATATTTAAACGTTATTGCATATTTTTGCATATTTTGGCAAAATATACAAAATTTATTGCATATTGAAGCGAAAATTTAAAAAAATGTATAAAACAATATTTTGTCAAGTAGAAAAATTAAAATTAAATTTCATAGTCACTAAATAATAATGTATATATACTTATATTTATTTAAATCTTTATAAGATAAATAATCGATTACGACGTAAACTTAATCGCTCTTGCTGTGTCAGTCGCTTATCGACATACCACTTTGCACTCGGTTGGCACATCGTTTTTCGTTGTCCGTAAATCGTTAATATGCCGAAAATAAATGTGTGTCTACCTATAAGTTGCTCTTGCTGTATCAGTCAGTTATCAACATACCAGTATAATACAACTGAGTTTCGTCGATTGTCGTTGTCCGTAAACTGTAAATAGATTTTTGTACTATAGTATTTCAGTATTTGGCACGGACGTAGTACATACAGGACTGGGCACGAGTCGTTATCAGTGGAAAATTAGTGTCACGGGACCAACGACCAGCCCTTAGATCATATCAGTGGCGGATCCAGAGGGGGGTGCTAGGGTGCTATAGCACCCCCCTTGGCATGTTGCTACCTGGTTAAAAACAAATACTATATACTATACATATTTTTCAGTGGGCCGGGTACGTTATACTAAATCGGTAACAAAATAAATAATATTATTTTTTTTTTTTTATAAGTAATTTTTCCCTCAACAATTGAGATAAGTGATAACCAGAAGTGACTGAAAAATGGAACGATACAACTATAAATAAATATTGTTCTATGATACAACCCACGGGTCACAGGTATCAGACATGAATATTGGGTTTAG